TGTCTGAGGAACTGAGAGCAAACAGCTCCTGACGAGCAGAAACGCTCGGCCGAGGCAGCTAGGTGCAAACAGCGCCTCGGATGCCGTCCCTCGGGCAGGGATGCTCGCTCACCAGCTCGGGCTCTGCAGCCTCTTGCAGCCCGGGGTTTTTGGGAACGGGGCAAAAGGCGAAGGAAAGGACCTCCAGAGAGGGTTCGCTGCTCTCCCGTCCCCTCGGCTTTTCCTGGAGGGGCCGGTGTCCCACCTGGAGGCAGAGCTGGGGGGACAATCAGAGGGTGCAGCGAGCTGGGAAATGAAGCCTCGAGGTGGTTGATTTCCCCATTTGCTTTTCCTTGGGCAGCTGAACCGCTCCTCATCCCTGAAATACATTCGAGTGAGGATGAGTCATCCTTCCTGCCAGGACTCTAACCTGCCGTAATGAGATGTAAATCCTTGCATGACCTATTATATTAGCTTATGCTATATCACACATCTCCACGGATTAGACAGCAGCGAGATGAGACGTCCCCCCGTCGCAGCCTCAGACAAGACGGTGGAAGTTAAGAGGATCCTCTCTCAGCGCTGACACCTGATTTAAATTGGAAGCAAGCAGCTCCCTCTGCCACGCTGAGAGGGATCATTCCCGCTCCTCTTTCCAGGTAACTGCCTCCAAAGGCACAGTTACCACAACCCGAGGATGCTCCCGACATCCCCGAATGGCCCCGGAACCGCCGGTTCCTGGAGCAGAGGAGAGGGGCAGGCTCGGTGGCCTGGAGCTGCAGGGCCATGCCCATAAGGCCATCAGATCCTTGACAGCCTGAAATCCAGGGAACCTGAACGTTTAAGCCTTTGGAGACCCCGGGAGAATCCTGGAAAGTGGCGACGGGAGGGAAATGAGAGGGCGTTTCCAAACCCCGCAGCTGCCGGGGGAAGTCACCCCGGCACTTGGCAGCTGATTGTCACTTGCGGTGATGGGGACAGGCACCGCCACCTCGGGAGCCTCCGCGCTGGGCTCTGACCCCGGGCAGAGTCACCTTCCCTCCTCCCGCCGGCCCGTGGGGTGCTGCGGTGGGATGGGGACAGGGATACCCTGCAGGGGGATGGGGACAGGGATACCCTGCAGGGGGATGGGGACAGGGATACCCTGCAGGGGGATGGGGACAGGGATACCCTGCAGGGGGATGGGGACAGGGATACCCTGCTGCACCCCTCGGGAGCGGGGATGAGGCAAAGTAACATCTACCCAGAGAGTCCCACGGCTGTTGGGGACCACCCAGCTCCCAGGAGGCTGAGGGAAAATGTCCTGAAGGTCTTGAGGAAAACATCCCTTCAGGGGGATCCCTACTGGGAGATCCTTCACAGGGATCCAAGTGCTACCATGTCGCTAACAGAGGAAATGAAGAAACTTTAGTATAAATCACCAAATGAAATTCTTCCTGGCGTTTATTCGAACAGAACTCCATAAGGCTGAGGAAGACAGACTGCAGCGTGGCTTGTGATGGAAATGAAACCAAAGATGCCTTTCCCTGACCTAAGGAGGCATTCCCATGGAAAACCTCCCCAATCCTACAGAACCAAACCTTTGAGTTCCCAAAAGCTGGCACCATCTCCACAGGATGAAAAAGTTCCAGTGCATCCCTCCTCACCTTGAAGTGTCCTGGCAGAGCCCCTGGGAGCCCCCGAGTGGTGCTGGGAATGGGAAGCCAGGAGTGGGGATGCTGCTGGGGTGTCCCCTCAATTCGCTTGGAATTCCCTGCTCTCATCTTTGTGTCACTGAGCACGGGGCTGGCCAGACTCACCATTGCTGGGATTTGGGAGGTTTGGGGTGGGAATGGGCCTGAAGTGCAGAACATCCATCCCAAGGGGTGCAGGGATTTGGGGTGGGAATGATCACACAAAGCCCCTGTCCCAAAGGATGGAGGTTTGGGGTGGGAATGGTCCTGCCATGCAGAACATCCATCCCAAGGAGTGCAGGGATTTGGGGTGGGAATGGTCACACAGGACACAAAGCCCTTGTGCCAAAGGATGGAGGTTTAGGGTGGGAATGATCACACAGAACACAAAGCCCCTGTCCCAAGGAGTGCAGGGATTTGGGGTGGGAATGGTCCTGTGGTGCAGAACATCCATCCCAAGGGATGGGGGAATTTGGGGTGGGAATGGTCGCACAGAACACAAAGCCCCTGTCCCAAAGGATGGAGGTTTGGGCTGGGAATGCTCCTGTCACACGGGACTCACAGCCCCTATCCCAGAGACCAGAGAGGTTTTGGGGTGCCGCACAAGAGGAGGGGATGCAGCTCAGCGCGGAGAAGCCAGGCGGCTGCAATTCCCGCTGGGAGGAGGGTGCTGTGCGAGGTGAGGAAGAGGAGGGAGGTGCTGGGGGAGGCTGGCACGGTCTGCAGCCGAGCCGTGACACAAATGCAGCGGGACAGACATACAGAGCATGTAAACAGGCACATGGGGAGAGCATGTGCTGCTCCGTGCCGCTGGTGGAGAGCGAGCCCCGAGCAAAGGCCAGCGTTCCCACGGGGGATCTTCCCAGCTCTGTCTTCATTTCCTGGAGTGCTCAGAAGGAAAAAAAAAAACCCAAAAAACCAAAAACAAACAAAAAACCCCAAAACCAGAAAAAAAACCAAACAAAAAATCCCCCCAAAACCCTAATCCTTCCCCCCATAAAAACCAAAAAAACAAAAAAAAACCAAACAAAAAAAAAACCCCCATAAAATAAAAAAGATAAAATTAAAAAAAAAGCACAAAAAAAGGGGGAGAGAGAGAGAGGTGAACGCCACGGAACGGTGATGGGAATGGCTTTGTACATCACGCTAAAAATAGTCCTTGTGATAAAGTCGATCGCGGAGGGGGGAGGAGGTGCCGGCAGCGCGCAGATGCCGGCGAGGGATGCCAGGGGTTCTGCTCCGAGGATGGAGCAGAAGGGCCGTAATTAGAGCTGGTAATTAGCTGCAAGCAGCACAGAGAGAGCTGAGCCGCCCGTGGGGGGCTCAGCGCACCCTCTCCCCTCGGGACGGAGGATCCTTCACGCCGGGAAATGAGAAGCGAGCGGCTGCCGCAGCTGGAATTGGGGTCCTTGGAAGGGAGACGGGGATTTTGGGGTGTTTAGGGCGAGGAAGGCTCACTGCAGCCCGGCGGGTAACGGGGAGGAGGCAGGCAGGGTGTGGGAGCCAGAGCTTGTGGAAGGAGCCCTGCAGGGGAGGAAAGAGGAGCTGCGGGGAGCGGGGGAAGCCAGGGCCGGTGCTGGAGTGAATGGATGATTCGGCTCAGTGTGAGGTGCAGGGATGGAAAAGCAAAGGATGGAGATGGAGATGGTCCTTTCACCCCCGGCAGGTTCCACACCCCAGATCCCAGCTCTCCGCAGCCCTGTCCTGATCCAGCTGGGATGCCGAGCTCCAGCCCCAGCTGGGATCCCGCTGAGCGGGCCGGAACCCAAAGCTGGATTTTGCAGAGCGTTTTTAGGCTCCGTGTCCCTGTTCCCTGCGGGAGAGGTCCCGGTGTGCCACGGCAATAACGCCCTGCACTGAGGATGATTCACGCCGGGAATTTGAGGCAGGATGGGAGCTGACACAACTGGGCCCAGTGCCCATCTCATCGCCCGAGGGAGGAGGAGGAGGAGGAGGAGGAGGAAGGGTACATGATGTGAGCCAGCACTTGGGAGCCCCGGGGTGTCACTCAGCCTTGTCCCCTCTGCCCACGCTGCTGCCGATGGAGACAGCCCCGACATCCCTCGGGACAAATCACTTGGAGGGATCCAGGATGAGCGAGAGAGCCCCAAGGCAGGAGCGACCCTCTCCGTGTGGGGAAACTGAGGCACGGTGGTGGCAGGGTTAAATTCCCTGGTCTGCAGTGGAGAATGTGATTTCTTCCAGCAGTTCTCTCAGCATCCTTCAACTACATCCCGGAGGATGCTGAGGCACCAAACAGCACCCCTGAGACCAGGCACAGTCTTAAAAATGGGAAGTGTGCTGCCATTTGGAGGAAAATTAAAAAAAAAAAAATCGAAATAATCAAGGATCTGAATAATTTTTGGGGTGAGTTTCCCCCATCCTTTGATGGTTGCCAGGTGTCTGTCCCCAGCAGCAACCCAGGGCACACAGCGGGGGACAGGAGCAGACCTGTCCCTGCTGTCTCCCATCACGTGAAGGTTCTGGGCATTTCTCACCATTCCCAAAGCCGTTTCTTGCAGGCTTTGCCTGTAAATGACTTTAATCTTCATAAGCCCCAAAAAGTAAAGCTGCTTATCTGGCTGGGCCCTGCTGGAGCGCTGGGAGGAACTGGGGGGGGACGTGGACAACAGGAGGGGGGTCAGCCCAGGGGAGAGGAAACCCTATGGAGCTACATCACATCCTCATCCTCATCCTCATCCTCATCCTCATCCTCATCCTCATCCTCATCCTCATCCTCATCCTCATCCCTGCGGACACCCCGAGGTCCCAAGGAATGGGGCAGCAGCACATGTCCCCTCTGCAGGCTCCATCCCACACATCCCTGAGCTCTGCCCGTGTCCCAGCGCTCCTTTTTCCCCCTTTAACGGCTCCTCCAAGCGGAATCTCGGTGCCAATCCCGGTCCAAAGGCAGCAGAGAGCTCCGGCCCGAGGTTTGCCAAGCAGGCAGCCAGCAGAGCCGGCGTGGTTTAACGCTGAATAATTCCCTGCAGATGAGGGGAACTATTCTAAAGCTGCCAGACGCCACCTCCACCCAGCTCCCTCCAGGGACTCCACGGGGACAGCTTTGGGCTCAGGGGGCCTGGGACACGGGAGGGAAGGCAGTGAGGTTCAGGAATCAACCCCAAACTGTATCCCCTGCCCGCTCAGAGCATCACAAAGCAAAGCCCGGACTGAAGGGGAGCTTTGGCACCCCTTGGCAGCTTCACCCCTGTCACAACCGTGTTCTCACAGGATGGAGCCTCATCCCCACCTGTTTGGGGAGGAGATGGGGGGGTCCATCCTCCCTTTTTCCCTGCCGGGGGACCCCCGGACCCAGTGGCGACAGAGGGGGGCGGAGGCAGGGTGTGCCGCGTCCGTATGGAATGGTTTTTTTTTTATTACAGTTTTTAATCTCACAGTCGGTAGCATTACATGAGAATAAAGCACTGGACAGGACTGGAAAAAAAGGCCTCTGGAGACAGCATGCAAACATTGCAACGAGTTTAAAGCAAAACAACCCAAAAAATAAAAAGCGTCTGGCGGGGACGCGGCCGCGCTCTCCCGACCGGGCGGCGAGTCCAGCGTCTCCCCGTCAACCATCACTTCTGTCGCTGGGGGTTTCCTTTTCATGTGTCCGTTTCATTGGTTTATTTATTATTATTCTCCTTTTAACAACCTTCTTCTCTCTTTTTTTTTTTTTTTTTCCTTATTTTTTTTTTTTTCTTCTTTTAATTACATTAAAAAATAAGATTCGTACTTTAGTAAAACGCCCGGCGTTCAGCTGGGCCCTGCTTGAAATAATAAAAAAACAACGACAAAAAAACCCAAAAAAACCCAAAAAACCAACCCAAAACAATAAACGCCCCCCCAAAACTGAGAAAATGACAAAAAAAAAAAACCACCCACAAAAATAATAATAATAATAATAAAATAAAAAAAAAAAGCGTGGGAGACCAAAATGAAAAATAACAAACCCAAACCTAGAAAATAAAAATAAAAACTGACAGATTTGGAAGTTTGGAAGCAACCGGGGGAATTGGGGCAGGGGAGGGGGACACCCAGACCCCCGGGGCTCCCTCCTGGTGCCGTGGTGGGGCAGGGGGGCTGCCCACACCCTGGTCCCCCCCAGCGTGGGTCCCCTGCGGCTGTGGGGTGGCAGAGCCCCCCTCTCACAGGTAGAGCTCCTTCTCTTTGATATGCACTAGCTGTTCACGGAGCTGGTGGAAGGACGGCCGGTGGCCGGGGTCCAGGGTCCAGCACTTCTTCATCACCTCGTAGACGACGGCCGGACAACCGTCTGGAGCATCCATCTTATAGCCCTTCTCCACACGGGGCACCACGTCCTTCAGGGGCTGGGGGAAACCCGGGCTGTCAAGGAGGGGCTCTTCCCAAAGCAGAGCTCAGCTCCCCCCCACCCCTGAAATCCAGCCCCGAGGGGGGGCTCATCACTCACAATTCTCGGATAAGGCACTCGCCCGAAGGAGTAGATTTCCCAGAGGAGGATCCCGAAGCTCCACACGTCCGACTTGGTGGAGAATTTCTGCAGGGAGGAAGGGAGGGGAGAGAAGCCCTGTGAGCAGGGATGGGGGGTAAGGGATATTCCCCACCCTCGGGGCAGCTGGTTTTGGGCTCCCACAGTGCGACGCTGCTCTTTAGAGCAGCCTGGGATGTTCCCCCTTCCTGCAGCTTCCACCGTATCCCCCTGGGCTCACCCACCTTTTCTCTAAGTGCTTCTGGTGCTGTCCACTTGACGGGCAGCTTGCCCGTGTCCTGTGTGGAAGAGGCTTCCTTGGTGAGCCCGAAATCGCTGACCTTGGCGATGTTGTCCTCCGAGACCAGCACGTTCCTCGCTGCCAGGTCCCGGTGCACGAAGTTGTTGGCTTCCAGGTACTCCATGGCTTCACAGACATCTCTGGGAGGGGTGGACAGCACAAGGGGGGTCGGCAGGGCGGTCCCAGGGCGCGGGTGGGGCAGGTGAGGGTGTGGGGCGCAGTACTTACAGGGAGAACTTGAGCAGACAGTCTGCCCCGAGCACCGACCGCCCGCGTGACCGCAGGTAATCTACTAGGCTGCCCTGCACGAGGGATGGAGAGATGTGGGCTCAGCAGGGGCTGCAGCCCACCTGCTGCCCCCTCCCTCGTGGGGCAGGATCTGGGGATGACGTCCCTTTAAGATGGGGCAGGATCTGGGGATGATGATGCCCCTTGTGGGGCAGGACTTGGGGATGATGTCCTCATGGGGCAGGACCCAGAGAGGATGTCCCTTCCTTTGTGGGGCAGGACCAGGGGATGATGTCCCTTGTGGGGCAGGACCCATGGATGATGTCCCTTTAAATTGTGGCAGGACCAATGGATGATGTCCCTTTAAATTGGGGCAGGACCCATGGATGATGTCCCTTTAAATTGGGGCAGGACCCGTGGATGATGTCCCTTTAAACTGGGGCAGGACCCATGGATGATGTCCCCTCCCTTACGGGGCAGGATCTGGGGACAATGCCCGTTTACGATGGGGCAGGAGCAGGGGAGATGTCCCTTCGAATGAGGGGACACAAGGATAACGTCCCCCTGCGGTGATGGGGCACATCTGGGGATGCCAACCCCCGCTGGGAGCCAGGGATGGGACATGGGACACCCCCAGGCAGCCCTGCAGCCCCAGCCAGGATGACCCAGCCGTGCCAGGGTGAAGCCCCAGGAGCGTGGGGGGCACGAGGGGACAGAGCA